TAATATCTTAAGATTATATGTATTACTCAGCATTTCTTGGTCTCTGATTTCGGACCTGTGACATGTTAATGAAGATGAAACAAGATACTGTACATAAACTAAAAAACAGCATGTTCTTTATCCCCTGCATCTGTGGCTCTCAAATTTATGGGGCATCAGAATTCCTTGGTGTGGCCCAAATTCTCTCTGGGTCTCCTGCACATGAGACAAACCATATAACATATTTTATGTGAGTTCATTAACTTACAAAGGAATTGAGTGCCCAGTGCCTAGCCCTGTGCCACCGCCACTCAGAGCCCGCTTTATCAGACTGTGCCACACCCATAGCCCGCGTTTGCTCATGCCTCCAGGGCCAGCGATCTTGCTCCAGGTCCACAGGGAGTCAGTCCATTTTGTCTTTGAGTTGCTGCGCTGGCTGCGAGTTTCCTACACCATCACGGGCTCTACCGGTGGCTCCTGGCTTCCATCCCAAGATGGCTCCTAGCTTCCCTTCCTACTTCCTGCTCAGTGTCAGGCCCTGCCCATTGGAGGAACTTGAGTTAGTGCACATCTCCTTCCATGTCCATTCCTCCCATCCATCTCCACAGTTCTGAGCCAGTGAGCCCAGGGTCCAAGCACACATCTGCATTTTTATGGGCTTCTGGATGGTTGTTCCTTGGTAGATGGTCCCCCACTGGGAAGCATTGCCTAGGCCTGTGTACATCTCCAGACAGCAAGCACAGTCCTTGCACTTGGAAGTTTAAAAGAAAACAAAGGAATGGACAGGTAAAGGCCACAAAACCAGATGACCTGTGCTTCCACTGTGAAGTAGTCTCCAGAAGGCTGCTTAGCCACCCAGGGGGCGAGGCTTCCAGGAACAGCCAGCCCTTGGCAGCCCAGCCCTGATGGAAAGTGTGGTACGGTCAGATCCTGTTTTTCAGCCCTCGCTTGCCTCTCCAGTGGCTGTTTTGACAGGTGTACCCAGGGCTGGTGCAGCAAAAGTTGCCAGCTCAGCTCTGGCCTGAGGAGAGGAGAGGAAGGGCAGGAGGTTTTCCCAGCCCTGTCCTGCTCTGAAAGGAGGATGAGGTTGCCAGAGTGACACAGGAAGGCAAGCCTAGGGTTTGTAGAAGTGCTAAGAGACCATGGCCCAGACCTGTGGCTTCTATGACCCCCTGGGAAAGCCCAGAAACCATTTCAGGGCTTTGTAAGCTTTGGAACTGAAATCATACCAACAGCAAACTCTATGCTTTGAATCTAGTAGCTGAAATCCCAAGGGCTATCACCACTTCATGAGTGTTCAGGCTTTATTATCTTGGCTCTGATGAGACCCAGGACAGCAGCTGGACAGAACAGGAGAAAGAGAGCTTGGTTAGAAGCTTAGGAGAGATGAATGTGATCTGCAAGGCACAGTGAAGCCAAGACCACCCCAGTCTCTATTTTCTGAAGAGGAAACTGAAGATTCAAGAGGTCTATGGTCCCACCAGGAAGGAGGGTCTAAGAGGTCAGTGCTGGGCCTATGGTCCCACTAGGAAAGAGGGTCCATCATAGCAGGAACATGACCTGTTCCAGCTCCATGTCCACCGAGGGATTAGAGCCCATCCACTCCCCACTCTAAGATAGGTGGGATCCATCTTAGAAGATTTCATGATGAGTTATAGCATTTGCTTCAGGCCTTATAGTTCTGACTGCCCATTACTGAGCAACAGAGTCAGCTCTTTGGAATTTCAGATACTCTGAAGGGCTATGTGATGACATGGGACAGAGGAATGGGGGCTGAGAGAAAGGGAAGGGTAAAGGAGTTGGCCCCAGTTCTCAGGGTGCAGGGAATCATTTGGGAACAGGAGTATGCAGGGCTCCTGTCCCGGCTTCTCAACTACAGAGGAATAATGAGTGCCAGTGCAGTTTAAGAAGCTCAGCAACTGTGCCATGAGCTCCACCCTGACCAGCATGGCTAGTATCTGCGAAGATTTGCAGCTGCTGTATCCTGACTCCTTTGTGTGGCCCTCACCATGGTGTGGCTATCTGGGACTGAGGTCTCTGGGAAGTCATTAAACTTAAATGAGGTCATAGGGTTGGGCTTATTGTGATAGGACAGTGGGTAGATAAGAAAAAGTTCCTGTCTACCAGTCAAGGACATAGTGTGAAGGTGAACGTCTGCAAACCACGAAGAGTTGGCACCTTGATTTTGAATGTCTAGTTTCTTGAACTATGAGAAAATAAATTTCTGTTGTTGGAGACATGTGATTTGTGGTGTTTTCTAGTGGCAGCAGAGCAGACCAAGACTTTGGGCAACTGACCAGAACATTTTCCCAGCAACCTCGTGAGAGGAAACTCACAGAGCAGTTAAGCAACTTGCTCAAGGTTATCTCATCATGGTCATGTTTAAAAACTCATTATGCATATGACTCAAGGAAGTCAAAACACTGCTCCAAAACTCAGCTCCCCGTGTATACAGCAGAGATGGGCTAGCTACGTTGTAAACGATAGCAAAGACTGCTACTATTTATGACGTGCCCAGGGCAGTATGTGGCTTTACCCTGATTCCTCCATTGGGATTTTTTCTTATTGTTACTGTTGTCTGGTGTGGAACTCTGTCCACTGGCTATGACATGGCTTTTGCCACCTTGAAATCAAAGCAGCTATGATGACTCATGAGACCTTTACAAGATTGGGCCCACTAACATTGTCTTGTAGAAGGGCAGGAGGGTTCACAAAGTTCATGAGGTGAATGAAGTCCTTCCCAGAGGATATATTAACAATTGCTGGAGAGAGGGAGATTTTTTCTTTGGTGATGTAGCTGCCAGGAAGTTGTCCGTGCTGCTATGAGTAGCCTCAATTAAACTCATTGGTTCACCAAGCTAGACTTGGATGGGATTGGTTTTTTAGGTCTGCGGTTTCTCTCCCTTTGTGGGGTGACAGAAATAGACTTCCCAGGAAAAGTCCTGCAGCATTGTCTTGTTTCTATAGTGCCCACCAGCCTCACTGTCAACTTGCCTAAAATCCCTCTCACTCTCGCCTCAGTAAGTGGGGGAGCACTTGTGTGATATCACATGTGGTGGTTTGAATGAAATGTCCCCCATAGGCTCCAAGTATTTGGACATTTTGTCCCCAGTTGGTGGTGCTGTTTGGGGAGGTCTTAGAAGGTGTGGCCATGCTGGAGGAAGCACATCACTGGGGGTGGGCTTAGAGAGTTCTTAAGCCTTGCTGGATCTCTAGTCCCTCTCTTGTTTCCTGTGCTTGCTTGAAGACGTAAGAGCTTAGCTTCTGCTCCTCCTCCAGCCACCTCTGCCGCCATGCCTCCTCACCATGATGGACTATAATTCCTCTGGAACCATAAGCTCAAATAAACTCTTCCTTTTATAAGTTGAGTTGGTCGGTGTTTCTATCACAGCAACAGAAAAGTGACTAATATACCACATCCCTACTCCCTTCCCCTTTCTCTCTGTTATTCTAGCTCACTGAGTCAGGTAAACCACTTAGGACCTGGGAATTAGCAGCTGAAGGGCAGGGCCCACAGGTGGTCAGTGTCAGGCCTGTTCTGTTGGACTGTGTGCAAACAGAAGATGTTAGTCAGTGATAAGGAGACAGGTGCAGAGAGGTGCAGTGGCTACTGACCGATGGAAAGACAAGCGAATGGCGTGGTGTGTGGTGTGAGGAAGGCAATGTCTGACATCTTCCATCCAGTAACCACAGGCTCAGCTAGACTTCTGGTCCATAGCCCCTTGTTTACCTGCTGTACCCTTTCGTGAGTGCTCCCCGACTTACTGAGGTGACCCTGTGACTGTGTGCATGGGCTCAAAGGTGTCTGATTCACCCTGTACCCTTAAATCAAGTGGTTCCTCAAGCCACACAGTGGGGCTGGTCTGTAGCATGGTCCAGGTCACATGTGTTTTTTGTTGTGTCTTTACTCTTATGCTCTCTGTTGTTTCCAATTCTTGTGATCTTGTTTCTCATTTTGCCCCCAAACCTAACCCTTGAAATGGATTCTGGATCTAGCTTTGCTATACTGTGACTCCAGGACACTGGCTGGTCCTCACATTCAGGCTTTTCCTGTTCCCGGGGCCTGGCCTAACCCTTCTCCTACCAGCAGTGCAACACCCAGTCATTCGAGTTCTCCGGAGGTTTGCTTGTGACTGACTCTGAGCTGATTCCACTATGTCCTGCCTGCCCTGCTACCACCTGGGCGTCACCTTCCTCCACCTGCCCTGTCTCATTGTTCCACTTGTCCCCAGTGACTCCTTCCTCCTGGCTCTGCCTTGTTTCATGCAAGACACTAGACATGTCTGTCTCCCCTGGGAGAGGTGACCAGAGTGGGCTTTAGGTCTCCCTTACCCACATAACCCTCAAGGAACTAAGTCAGTGCCCCACACATGACAGCTGCTGTGGGGAGGAAGGACCTCGTGTCACACAGACAGTTAAAGTGGCAAGGCCCATATGTAGTGGGCTCATTCAGTCCCACCTCAGCTTTCCTACTTTTATAGGTCTTCTACTAAGCACCCCTGGCCTATACATACCCCAAAGCAAACCACTGCTCAGGCTTTGTAGCAGGTCATGTTTTACTAGTAAATGAATTTACTCTCCCTCGTGGAACAGGCTTAACAGATTTCCAGGGAGCCCAGCTGACCTCTGTTCCTGTAGGCCTCATGGAGCCAGGCCCCTGTGGGGCAAGTCTGATTTGTTTTCTTCCTCCGGGTTGGTTCTTTCCCTGTCTCCGAGACAACGGGTGGGGGGGGGGAGAGCAGGAGGCATCCCACTGGGGTCTGGACCTGTCTTATTTTCTAGCCTCATTTTAGCCAAATAACTACGGGGTCCAGCTGCAAGCTTCAGGATGCTCACTCTTTCTCGCTTGGTCCTAAAGGAAATTTCCTAGGAAACTTTTGCTCGAGCTCTACTTCAGACCACTAGGAACTCCCAGATCTCAGATTCCACATCAGAACCCTGGATACTGATTCCTCTTCAAACGGCAACATGAAGCGAGCCTTGAAGGCATCATATTGGGCACAAAGACTTGAAGACACCTCTTCCTGGAAATAGCTCTTTACTGGTCGGTGAGATTATGTTACAAGGTATTGTCCTATGTAATCAGGACAGTTACACGTTGGGGTGGGGGGGTTGTTATGCAAGCCAGTTGCACATTGATGTTGAGGAGAAAGGTAACATAAAGTCTTTGAACAGGAAGAGGGCAGGTCTCTGGGACAAGGCTAGGGAGGAGAAAATTCCATAGTCGGCCCAAGGGTGTCTGTGTCTGTTGGAGTAGGAAAGCTTTAGAGTGAGTCAAGTCAATGGAGACCTACTCGCTATGGGGAACCTCCCGGCATTCCTTTCTGTGAGTGTATATAGGAAGTTATTGAAGGATGAGAAGTGATGTGAAAGGGTCCTCTTGTGCATGTCCAGGCTCTTCCTATGCTGAGTCCAGCTTACTGTTCATACAGGAAGGACTCTGGCCATCCTGGGTTAGGGTGGAGTGAGGTCATTGTGCAGCTGTGGACAGGAGGACAGCTGGGAGCAGGAGGCAAGAGCCACCCTGTTATCAGGGGTGGGTCCTGCTGCAGCCTGGTCCTCCCTGATCTCCACAGAAAAGTGCCACTGGGAACATGGGCCCGGCAGCCTAAGTAGAACAAGGGGCAGCTTTATGGAGAGACACGTCATCCATGTTTTGTTCTCCTGCCTCCAGCCCTGTGGTCTTCCTGGGAGCTGGGTGGCAGACAGGCAGCATGTCCTGGGGCCTACAGGGTCTCCCCATGTAGATGAAACACCTGTTTGGATTCCTGCAGGCCACCCCTGAGATGCAGAGGTAAGACTGAAGCAGGGAATTTTCTGGACATGTAAAAGAAAAAGAAAAGCCCTCTGAACTTGTCAGGGGCACTAACGCATGAGGCCTGAGAGTACCAGCCAGGGCAGACTCACTCTGCTTCATGTGGGTCAGGGGCAGCTCCCATGACTCTGTTCCCATGACTGTGCCGTTGTCCCTGGAATTTTAGCTATAATGCCCCAAAGGCTCCCCTGGGTCCTTTCAAACAGCTGGAGCCCTAGGAAGCTTCTGGCCAGCATGGGTGTTAAGTCACAGCAAAGACTGGAGCTGGTCACCATTCCAAGAGATTCAAGACCTTCTTCCTGAGGTAGCCACCCCCCTGACAGGCTCAGTCACAGGCGAGGGGAATCTTTTTCCCTCTCCTCCTACCTAGCAGGGGACTCTCAATTGGCCCCACCAGCCAGCAGAAAAACGTGGGTAGGGGTGAGTTGCTTTCCTATGGTATAGTCACTATTGGGGAGCTGAAGGCTGCAGTCATCTCTGAGAGACACCCCCATATCAGGATCAAAGGGCAGTGATTGTCTTGTAGGTAATGAGGCTTTCTGACTGCTGCTATGAGCTCCTTCCACAATTCGTGTGTCAGCATTAGGACAAGGACACTTCTTAGTAGGGGCTCTGGCTTCCTGGTGGGCCTGGGGGCCCAGGAAGTCCAGGGGGACCCTGGATGCCTGGTTCACCCTTAGGCCCCATGGCCCCCTGCTGGCCTGGTGACCCTGTCTTCCCTGCGATCCCCGGCTTTCCCTGGGGCCCTGAGGGCCCTGGAGACCCTGGGGGGCCCTCTGACCCTGGAGGTCCCACATCTCCTTTGGGGCCTGGCTGTCCCCTTGGCCCTCCAGTGCCAAAGCTGCCCTTTGAGCCTTTGAGGCCTGGGAAGCCTCGGGGGCCAATTGGACCTCTTTCTCCCACAGGTCCTGGTTCCCCAGGCTGCCCCTGAGGACCCTGGGCTCCAGGGGGGCCCAGGCTGCCAGGATCTCCTTTAGGTCCTCTGCCACCAACAGGTCCTTTCATGCCCATATCTCCTTTGAGTCCTCTTGGTCCTGGAGGGCCAGGGGCACCTGGGATGGGAGAGAAGAAACAGGTCACTCAAGAAGCTTCCCGTAAACAAAGTGGGCACAGGGACAGCCGAGGGTCAGCGAGAAGCTTTACTGTGGGTGAAGTGGGGGTAAGACTAACAGGCTCTGAGCAACAACCTGTCAGGCCTGCATCAGGCCTGGTGTACTACTGACACTCCTGATCAGATGTCCTGCTTCTGGCTTTGCATGCAGCCAGCAGTCCTGAAAGCAGAGCTATGCAGGAAAAAGGCCAAGGTTGTCCAGGATGCTCCATCCTGCCCTGGAGGCGGCCTGACCTTCTGTATCGCCGCACTTCTGCATGGGTTTTGATTGCTTTACGCACTCCCTGCCCAACCCCTGTGACCTTCCAGTATCTGGAAACAGGGATGTGGAGTCGGGACATGGAGGAGAAAGCAAAGAAAGTAAGGTACCAGAATCAGGTGCAACATACTATGATGAGGGCCCACAGAGACACCTAAGGAAAGGGCCATCCCTCTAACCACTCCAACCTCTTCTATGAGCCACTGAGTCTCTCGTTGACAAAATCAGAGTGTAGCCAGAACCAGTGCTACATGCACATCTAGTAGACTCTGCTAGACCACAGAGTCCCAGGAAGATAGTCAAGGCCACTTTACATCCCAGCACTGGGCACAGGGCATGATGTGCAGTCAGCAGAGCTAAGCACATGTTAGAAGAGGATCATCTCCAGAGCAGCTGTGGGCCTCTACTATAGGCTGGACTCTGGGCTAGGGCCTAGAGCAGATGGTAGGGTAGAGACAGCATTCAGCACTGAAGCCATGCCAGGAGTCAGATGGCCTTCCATCCCCTCACCTGTGTAGGTCTGAGAGTCACCACCTCTCAGAGTTGTGCCAGCCCTGGGGACACATAGCATACACTCTGTCGCTTTGCCAGAGTACGCTATAATACCTTAAGAACAGAGGAAGAGCAGGCCATGGCCTCAGAAGGACGGTGGTTATGGAGAAAACAGCTCAGCTGGCGTGGGACCTGGGCTTCCATGGTCTGTATGGGTGAGGGATTAGGGCTGATGGGAACTGTGAATCCGGGGTGTCCTGGGAGCCTGTAATCAGGTATTCATAGGAACTCTGCTGGTTCATCACATGCTTTGCACTGAGTAGTAAGAGTTTTTGAATTAGGTGGGACCTAGTCCAAGTCCTTCAACTAAAGTTCAAATAGGTGAAATAAAAGCCCAGTGGTGGGTGAGAGAGATGGCTCAGTTGGAAAAATCCTTGCTGTTCAAACTTGAAGACTTGAGTTCGATCCCCAGAGCCTATGCAAAAATGTTGAGCATGATGGCATGTGCTCGTACTCCCAGAACCGGGGAGGTGTACCCCTGGGGCTCTCTGGCCAGCCAGCCTGGCCTGATTGTCAAACTCCAGGCCAAAAAGAGACCCTGTCTTGGGGCCAGAGAGATGGCTCAGTGGTTAAGAGCTCTGTCTGTTCTTGTAGAAGACCTGGGTTCAATTCCCAGCACCCACAAGGCAGCTAACAACTGTCTGTAACTCCAGTTCCAGGGGAATCCTGTCCCCTCTTCTGACCTCTGTGGGCTTTGCATGACATGAGTGCACTTACGTACATGCAAGCAACACACTCATACACAGAAAAAATGATAAAACTTTTAAAAGAGGCCTTGTCTCAAAAAGTGAGGTGGATGGCTCTTGAGGATCAAAACCTGAGGCTAATCTCTGGCCTCCACACACACATGTACACACGTATGCACCCACAGGAACATGCCCATGTGTGCATGCATGTGTGCATGTATACACATATACATACACACATGCATGCATGCACGCACATGCATACGCATACAATCCCAACAGTCTCTTGAGTGGAGATTAGAACTCAGTGGGCCTGAACTTGGCGGGTGTCTTGAAGGACAGGGTGCTAGGTGCTGAGGGCTGAATCTAGTTCTGCAGCCCTGGGCACCTTCATCCTGGCTGGTGTGAACTACTGTCCCCGTGCTCCCTCCCCTCCCCCTCTCTGCTGCCCCCTGCATCTCCTCAGAGTATTTCTGTGCAGAACAGGGTCAGTGAATATCACCCTCTATTATGACCTAAACTGGAAACCAGAGCCTTGACAGTCAGTCCTACCAGAGCCAATAAAAACCTTCCAGTATGTTCCTGCCACTGCCCATTATGGGATGTGGCTTTGCCTCAGCTCACGTGGCATGCCAACAGAGAAGCTGAGAGCCTGTCTTTGAGGTGGCTGGGGGTGGGGGACAGCTGATGAGTGATGGTAACAGCCTGGCCTTGGACAAGCCAGGAGACAGAACCTGCCCTTGGTCCCCCAGAGAGCCCCTTGTAACATAGGTATAAGAATAATACAGCCCCACGCTGATGCCCACACAGGGTCTGCCTCCCTCAGCCTGGCAGGCCTCTCTGGGAACTGGCAAAGTCACAGTGCCTGTCCTCATTCTGCTCCTGGCACCTGGGCCAGCTGAGTTTTGGAGAAGCAGAGAGCCGTTCAGCAGTGGAGAGACCCTGTGAGGCTGATGGGGCAACCCTGGGTGTTTCTTCCCTGTCCCAGATCTCAGAGTTCAGAGGAGAGCTATGCTAAATATAATTGATATATACAGTGGAGTTGCATTTAATATACACAGTATACCCTGTCCTACTCCGCCCTCCCCCAAGGGCTGGGTGGGCACTTGACTCTTACCTTTATCCCTGCACCTTCAAACTTTTTTGGATCCATCTTCTACTTGCCCTGGGAACAGAGGCTGCCCCAGGGACTACTCCAAGCCCCCTGGTTCTCTACTTCCTCTGCTCTTGACCTCTGAGAAGTGTGTACATCCCCATCTCCAGCCTGAGAAGTCTTATCACAAGGGCACTCTGCCCTGTCCCTAGGCCAGCTGGCGTCCCTTACTTTCTCTCTGGAACCTGTTTTTTCCAGTGTCACCAGTCTTCTGGGGATGACCTCTCCTCTTTGACCCCACAGAGCACAACAGCCACTGTGACGGTATCTAGGGTCTCCATTCTGCAGTGAAGGAGAAAAGGCAGAGGCAAAAGCCTGCCTTCCCCCTCCTCCCCATCACTCATTTTCTGGGTGTTTTTCCAGGGACACGCCAAGGCTTCTTTCCCTGGTGGGGAGGACCGAGTGCCCAACATGTGTGGGGTGAGCATATGGGAAGAAACCTCGGTCTCAGTCACGCCATCCACTTCTTTGCCCCAAGCATGAGTGAAGGGAGGGCCCTGGAGACAAGTAGGTCACTTCCTGCTCTATATACACTCTCACTCACAGCCACTACAGCTGATTCCATCTGAGAACCCAGGTGGTCCCAGGCAGCAGCTGGAGAACTAGTGAAGGGCATCACCATGGCTGTCTACCTCTCTCTCCTGGGCAGTGTGGCCTCCTGACAGGTGCCCATTCTGCAGACAGAACCCTCACTCTTTGTGCCTGGGCTGGATAGAGCCCACACCATGTTGGTATGTCTACACAGCCTTGCAGCAGTGGACCTCTGGCTCACTCTCTAAGTGCCCCATGATTTGTCTTCTTACATTTTCTGTAGGGCAGGCAAGAAAAGAGCCATGGCTTATAGCCTTGTTTTTACAGATGTCAAGTCCAAGACTACTGACATGCTAGGCCTCCAGGGCTCTGAAATCCAAGGCTCCCTTCCAAGACCACTGCCTTTATTCCTTAGCTCTCTCCAGTAAGGGCTCCTGGGTCCCTTTCATCTTATAATGCCAGCATGTCCAGTTTGGTGATGTTTGGAGGAGGGAAGAACCCCAGGGTGCTTCTTTGAAGAGTGCTGACTAAGGGTCCTTAAAGAGTAGGAAGACCCAAACATGGTGATGCACAGCTGTAATTGCAGTACTTGGGAGGCTGTGGCAGGAGAATTGGGAGTCTTGGGGCTACACAGTGAATCTGGATGGCAAGATAGAAAGACTTTACCTCAAGAAAACTAGGGCTGCGGTTGTAGCTCAGAATTGGAGTGCTTGCCTAGCCTGTGTATGATCCTGGTTTTTATCCCAACACCTATGTTGAAAATATAGTGGTCAAGGGGCTTGGAAATGTTCCTAACTTAGGTACTCAGATGAGTTACAAGAATTATGAGTCAGATTGGGGCTGGAGAGACAGCTCAGCAGTCAAGAGCACTGATTGCTCTTGCAGAGTACCTGGGTTTGGTTCCCAGCACTCACACGGTGGCTAACAACAGTTCATAGCTCCAGGTACAGGGGATATGACACCCTCTTCTGAGCTCCATGGGCATTACACAACACAGGTGCACTTATATACATGCAGGCAATACACCCATATACATTAAAAAAAAAAAAAAAGATTTGTGAGCCTAGGGGCCTGACTCATCTGGAGACGGTCAGCAACCCACAGTTTTCACAAGGGGAAAGAAGGCAGCTTGAGGCTGACCAAAGCTCTCTCCAGGACAGGGTGCCACTGGCCTGCCAATAATAAGACATTGGTATGGGCAGGAGTGTGGGTCAAAGGAGGGGAGGGCTCACTCCTGCTCTGAGCAGAGACTTCCTGAGCCCAGAAGTAAACCCTAGCAGTGGTGGCTGAGGTCAGGCATCCCAGGGAGGCCCATCATTACTCAGGAAGCTGCAGACAGTAATTAGGCTCTCAGACCCATTAGGGTGCAGCCACAACTGACTACATGTCTGAGGTAAGTAGGTGGACAGCTCTGTGGTCTGCACTCAAGGTTAGGGAACATAAAAGGGACAGGAGTGGCCAGAAAAATCCAGTTTCTCAAGACATGACCCTGTCCATCCATGATGTGGTAGGTTATTGACAGGAGGAAGCCACATCACCTCTCACAGTCAAAGGCAACTGACCAGTTCACTAAAGCACTAGAAACAGAGTGGATGCTCCTCAGGGAACTGGCCCAAGATGGGAGTGCCAACTCTGCTATTAGCAAGTTGGGTGGCTGAGCCTAGTCTCTTTCTCTTCTATGACCCCAATGACCTGGGCCAGGGATTCTCAGCTCCAGCTGAAACACAGCAAGTACTGATGAATTTTCAGTTCTGTCTAGG